CGTGGGAGGGCAGAGCCCGGGATGAGTTGCAAGAGTGACCCAAACGCCTGCTCACCATCTCGTGTTTCTACCCATCACTTCAGTGAACGAGTTCACAAGCATTTTGAGAGAGGAACCCCCACTGGCGCCCAGGCACCAATCCCCCCCATTCCCACTCTATAAGACGTCGGAGCTGAGATGAGGCTCCAGTGATGGCCCTTGTAGGGCACAGCCGAGCCCTGGCAAACACAAGGTGTTGCCCTCTCATCCCATCACCACCACGCCACAGGAAGGAGCGAGGTGTTCAGCCAAGGCTGGCTGCGGGTGGAATCTGCTTCTGCAGTGAAGATCTGCTTAAACGCTAAACAAGGTGACTCCTCGCTTCCCTCAATTTTGCAAGAATCTCCCCTTCCAAGGCCCCTAACTTACCACCCCCAGCACGGCTGCCACATCTCACATACATGGGCTGCCTCTGAGGAAGAAGCAGCCAAGCTGCTGCCAGCGGTGCACCAGACAAGGGAGGCCATTCCCCCCACCCCGATGTATCCGTAATTCTCTTGATCAGGTTTCTGAAGACAGGCAATAACCTTTTTCTGAAGAAAGCAGATGCACTTGGGTTTCTCCTCCCCATCCTCCCGGGTGGAAGGCAGCCCTGGCAGCTGCCACATCCCCGAGGCTCAGCATCTCCGAGGAGTGGTGATCAAAGCCACCCCTCTCCCATCACGGTAGGCTCCGGATGTCAGCTCCATGACACCCCGCCTACCCATCCTGCCAGAGAGACTCTGAGCATTCATCAAGCATCTCCAGAGAGGCACACGGCAATCTGGAAGGCCCAGAGATGCCAGACCGCTAATGTGCTAGGGAAAAGATGTCAGTGAATATTACAAACACCCCAGAGGATGAGAGGCAGGCCAAGGGAGGAAAGACCTGGAAGGAATCAGACAAAAAAAGAGGGTGAGAGCAGGCACTTGGGAAGTTCACAGAGAAACGGCACTGCCTTCTTATTTCAAAAAGGAGGATACTGCTAGAGCAGATTCAGCTGCACCGAAAACGGATAAAGAGGGTCTCGCATTCCTCTTCTGTCTAACACCGCAGTGTTAGGTGCTGCCACCCTGACCTGGCGGAGACCAAAAACGCAAGGCACAAGCCCTGCTTGTGCAGTGCTCCTCCAAGGCAGACACAACCAGCAGGGACCGAACGTCTGCAATCCATCTTCACAGGAGCAGGGTTCATACTGCAGCAGGAGCATCACCTCCCCAGGGCAGCATCACCCCATCACCAGGCTGTCAGTCACGCCGGCGACAGCCCATGGGCACGCAAAAGTGCATGCAGGTCATGAACCAGTCTGCACCGTTTAGGCATGGGGAGGCCGAGCGTCCTCAGAGCCTGAAGCTCTCGGCTTGCCCAGCCTTCCCTTCCCTCCAACCGGAGCAGCAGAGCCCTGCTCAGCAGCAGGTGCAGGGGAAGCAGAGCCAGCCCAGAGCTGCTGGCCGCCCAGCAGGTCCACACAGTGTGGCCACGCCAGCCTGCTCTAGCTGTGCCAAAGCCAGAGCAGCATCTAGGTCAGGCTCAGAAGAAAACAAAAAGCAGCCGAGCAGCCCTCGGCTGGGACCGGGGGACACTGACACAGTAACCGTACCGCAACGGCTCAGCCCCAGTGTGACCCAGCTCCTTCCCTGTGTCACGGGAGAGCTCCCTATGGAAAAACGGAGCAAAAAACCACAGGGAGCAACTTTCAGTTGGCCCCTGAAGTGCAGCACCTGAACTTGACACTTCCTCAGGAACAGAGGCAGCTGCCTGCCTGCTGCCCGTGGGCTTTCAGACCTGCTGGCTGGCAAAGGGCAGCGTGGGCCCAGCCTACAGCATCCACACCCTCCCACCTCCCTGCAACTGCTGGTCACAGCTGGAGGGATCTAACTGGCTCTCTCTGGCACAGGTCATGCTGGATAAACACAGAAATGATCCTCTTCAGCTACACGGGCACCCAGAGCCCTGCAAACCCGCGAGGGCATTTGCCCAGCCTACTGCATAATAAACAACAGTGGGGGTACAGAAGGGTCTTCCAAGGATGTGAATCCTCTCCACGAAAACCATCAGAAGAGTGTGATGGGCACGGTCTCAGCAGAGACTTCCCTGGCTACAGCTGCCACATGTGATGACTTCCACTGCGGGTGACCTGGAGAGGCATCGACCCTCTGACTTAAGAGATAACCAGCTCCTTATGCTGTTCCTAACCCCAGCACTTATCACTAACTGACCCAGAGTGCAGTCAAACCGCAGCTTCGATCAGTATTCAGTGTTATTAATAGAGCCATGCACAAAACCTGGCAGGCAGAAGAGCGCGGGCCAGTAGAATCATCGTTTATCTGTCAGCATCACCTCTGACAAAGCAGCTCTACCCACCTGCCTCCCACCAGCCCAGCCCCCAGCAAAGCCCACCTTTCCTTCGTGTTGTACCAGAAACACCCCACAGCCCTCCCTTGAAAAGACAGACACAGGAGGGCTCCGAGCTGCTGAATCTCTGAGTTTTTTCTGATCCCACCCCACATTTCTTCCCCTAGGCAGGGACCGTGCTGCGGTCCCCAGCCAGCAGCTCAGAGCCCCACCGCGGTCCACAGCCACACCTTCAGAGGACACCACCGAGATGGCAAAGCCTGCAGAGACTGGGAGAAGCCGGGCAGGCTGGGGGAGGGGAGCCAAAGCATCCTAGAAGGCATCTTTGCCTCCTCCCAGGCGGCAGGAGACTAAAATCCAGAGCAGCACGGTGAGGGCGAGCTGTCTCTTGGCACAGCCCCACCTCGCCCAGCCAGCACCGGGCACCCCCTGCCCTGGCACTGCCCACCCTTCCCAGGCAAGTGTGCGCTTCATTGTTGGTGCAAACAAAGGAGCGGTTTGTGTCTGCTGAAGAGAAAGGAAGTCGGAGGCAAAACCATCCAGCAGCCCTGGATATATGCAGATTAAGCTACAGAAGGTTGCATTAATGTAGCGTTTTCCAGACATCACTTAATCCCCCCCGGCTGTGCTGTCTCCATCTCCCTGGCGGAGGTGGGCTGCATCTCACCTGCGGCCACAAAGGCAACTGGCACCCAGTTACAAACCTGACGTCCCTGACCCGACACCTCCCGCGAGGCCGGGCAAGCTGCTGGGGAGGGACGGGTGCGAAACACAAGCCGTGTACCCACCAGCATGCCCGTGGGCATCACTTTGGCAAGGAACTCTGTCTATTCTTATCGAGGAAAAATGAGGACACTGGGATTCCCACTAGCTGTCTGGGGACCGAGCTACAGATCGACAGGCTGTCGGTCTCCGAGCAGATGTCTGGCTACAGGGTGAGTGGAAGGGAGCAGCGCTCTCTTGCTGTTTGCCCTTCAGGGATGCATCCTCCGCTGCCCTGCCCCCATCACCTCCAAGCCGGCCCAAGGGAAGGTTTTTGCTCGGCTGCCTTCCCCGGCACTGGCTGAGGTGCCCTGCTCGGTCTCCGTGATGAACCCCAGGTCACGGCGGGGGCTGCTCGGGGCTCTTCCCAGCAGTAGCGTGATGCCGGCAGGCCTCGGTTTGCCATGGCCGTTCCCTGGATCCCAGGTTTCGGCAATCACGACCTCGCTCCTCTTGCCCTGCAGCTGCTTAGGAGGACCTCGAGCATCAGCAGGAGCGGGGGAGCTGGACCCCAGGTTTAGACAGGCACCGCCGGGCCATCTGCCCTCTGAAGGCTTCTCCCAACCGTAACTCCCAACAATTCCCAGCACCTGGCAAGAGTCCCTTCCCGGCCTGATGGGGACACTGATAATGTCGGGCTTCGCACAGACGCCCCTCGGCCAGCGGCCAGGACTAGATGCGGAGGCG